AGTGCTGTGCCATCTTTCTAGGCTGTTCGACCTCCGCTTTCTGAATCGCGCGTCAGAGTTTCCTCACTGCACGTCTCTAAGCTTGACCATAAACGGCCGATGTCTCTCACCGACGGGATAGCGATAGGTCGCCAGCGGTGTCGCGTTCACGACGTTTTGCATGGAGATTAATTGAGGCACTAACACACGCTCAATCCAACACGAGTTCAGTCTTCACGTTAGTTCGTAGTATTTACGTCTTTATTTGCGCGATATATTACGCCGTTTTCTACTGTTTTATATCTTCTTTTTTGTTATGAAAATAATACTAATTATTATTCTCCTCGAGCTTTTTTCTACCAAAATTTTGAACAATAATTTATGTGAAAAGAAACTTGAAGAGAAGGCACATATAACTTCTGCTTACTACATCTATCGATGGAGACTTTGATTTACCTCGTTCGAAAGTACCAACTCTAAGAGTGAAACACTACGATGTTCGAATCTCTGCCGCGCTTAATGCGTCGAATGCTGAGTAAGTGACAAGTGAGTGTGTCGGCGGCGATCGTTCCTCTTCCTACGGTCTTGTTTTTCCCGCGGAATCTAGCGTAGGAGAAATTACCCGCGTGTGTGGCGGCACCTCGAAAAGCCGACCAACACGATCGTTCCTCCATTAGCCTTGTTACCACCGGGAATGGGTTGAGGAACTCTCCTTCTCCCTCCTCCCCTCGGCCCACGTCGTCGTAAGGTCAGCGAACGGGAAAGTCGCGGTGGATGAAGATTTTTCGAAGATATGTGTATGTTATGTAAAAATGAATTAGCTCGCGAAATTGAAGAAACCGGATTTGCATGTAGCGCAACTAATTTCGCAACCTCTGCATTTCGAGCTCGCGGTTAATTAATATTAACTAATATAACGTCGCGCGAAGTGAGAGTTTGGATATCTCGAAACGCGGATCGCGCGTTCGACTATCCACAAAGCAGCTTGTTTTTCTCGGAGTCGCGCGAACTTCTTGAAACTGGAAATACATATCGAACGCCGGGCCGGATACACGAGCCGTGATTTCTTCTTCCACGATGAGGGAGGAGACGGTAAGCGCGCGTGAGTCGATAATTTTCTCTTCCACCGCCTCCGCCACGTAACGCTCTTGGGAAAGATAGTTAGCTATCGATCAATTACGTGCTCGATGCACTCGCCGCGGCGCGGCTGCGCCCGTTAAAATGAGCTTTTACCGTCCAACTTTCCTCCGGGATATATAAAAGATCCGAGTAAGAGTACTGTTAAAGGTCGACTATAAATAAATCGAGAATACACGCGGCGAACGTAACTGCGTGTGCGGGCGCGACAAGAACCGATCGTGTTCGTGAAGGTCGGCTGAAATCGCGCGCGCCTCATCAGCGCTTTATCAGCTATAATCAGGTCACCCACCAAAAAATACTACGTTTAACGTAAAGTCTCGAAGAAGCATTCAAACTGTCGAGCGAAACGAATCCAAATGAAATAAGATATAAGATAAATCGACTCGAAAAGCACGATTGTAATCCGACGCGATGTTACCAGGCTGCGAAACTCCCGCGGGATATAATCCGCCACGTGATCCTACAAGATGCCCGATTAATTCGCGACAATTTTCTAATTATCGCAAAATACTGCCGGAGAATCTAAATCGCCGAGTTGAAGGGTTTACGGGATTGGATATAACTTCGACAACTGGGCTTATTTTCGACCTCGAATCCCGCGGCCGCGGCCGTATTACGCGAGGAGAAGTCCATTTCGCGGTCATAGTCCGACCGTAGCTCGAGGATCGTTGTAAACAGAACCTAAATGGCGATTTGAGCCGGGCATAAAAGGCTGCGCGTAACGATGTACTCAGGGCGAGCCGTAATCTGCTTTTGCGCCGCCACGTTCGCGTTTAGCGGCCGCGCTCTGCGCGCGCTAATCTTTACGGCGGCGATTCGACTGGCCGTCGACTTAGTTAACGATCGACTGCTTGGCGTTCACGGACGATCGCGCATATCGTTTTCGAACTCGTCTCGCGAAGATAACCCGTTTTCCACACCTGTACCCGTTCGCCGTATCTCACAGCACACGCGTCTGATAATTGCGGAGTACGGCAATTAATCTCGCAACGTAGGCACAACTCTTTGTTTCTTTTCATTATATTTTTTAAATAATTATTTATGAAGAAATAATTGTATTTTCCATTTTTTTTTAAATAACAATGTCTAAGTAAGAGGACTATGCATTATTGAGAAACGCACTTTGAATATCGTTTTTCTTTACGCTATATATGAGGCAATATGCTGCGATTAATGTTTTTTACGTATTAATCGCTATTCTGATCTTAATAGGCCTGAACAAGAAAAGACTGATAAAGACACACACACACACACGTCGTACTTGGTCTTTCCAGTCTTTCGTAAAAGACGTCAAACGGTACACGGATTTGTATATTCGTTTCGCCTGAATCAGGCGTTACACAATTTTCACATACGGTTTCTCGCCCGTACGTTCTAGTCCCGTTCCCGAAGACAAATCGGCGATTATTATTAAACGATAATAGGAACGAGTTTGGCCGGCGTCGTTTCTTACAGCTGTTATCGCCGAAACGGGAATCGATGGCGCATTATACGCCACCGTCCTCCTATAGAATTTATTTGTGTCACGACGATAATATATGGGAGCTAAATACCCTCAATTAATACCGCATTGAATGCCTCTCCGCGTACCCGTACAGGTGCGGCGTTTATGTGTTTTTCACCTGCTTGTGCGTGCCACTTTTGTGGCTCCCATGCGAGCGATTTTACAGGGTCAGCAAGTTTTCCACGGACGCTAAACGCACGGGTCACGAAGTTCGAAGCGGCAAATGGTACCACGAAAAAATTCGGCGGTTTTCGATATTTAATTATTTTTATTATTTACCTTGTTTATTCTTGTGAAAGTTAGATGGGCTTCTGAAAGCTTTTAAAGGGGGAAAGCGCCGTTTACGTAAGGAGAGGGAGTTTAAACGACCTTTCTTCGGGACGGTATTTTCTACCTGCAACGTCCTTTACTATACCGTATTACCGAGTGTCTCTGTATGAAACATGCCGCATCGACCTGGCGCTCGCTTTCATACCCCACGCGATCGACGGTTAACGACGGGTAAACGCCGCCGCATTGTGCACAGTGAAAAAGTCGCTTTCCCGTGGTACACCGCTCTTAATCGGCGAACGCGACCGAAGGTCCGAAAACCGTCAGGAAGTTAATTAAGTAGATTGCCATGGAAATTAGATTAAGCGAGTTTCTCGCGAGCGGGGACACACAAACCAGTTTAATTGCCCGGCATTGTGTCGGGAGTTAATGACTGCCGCTCTGCGGTTGCCTTCCCCGGGACACACCGTCGCCATGTTGCTGAAGACAAGTTGCGACTTTAATTGCGACGCGCGTGAAACACGTACGGAGAGTCGACGCGAGTCGCGGATCGCGAAAACGAAACGGTTCTGCGATCGCGCCGAGAGAGGAAGTCGCGTCTGCGTCGTTAAAATTCGCCAAATCGAAAGGCGCTACATTAGCGATAATTATATAATTTTTCGCCTCTCACTCTCAAAATCAGAATTCCGATCTGATTAGCGCGTAAATTGTTGACCTAAAAATTATTTGTCTGAATAGAATAACTTTCAGCGCGCAAGATACTACGATAAAAAGATTGAAGAAAAATACGAGATTTTGAGGAAATTTTAAATTTTATAGAGCTAAGAAAATTACCAATTGTTTTTAATCGGTCATTTTCACACCTCCACAATTTTAGACCTAAGAAAATATTACTCGACTCCGTAGTTTGTCCCAGAAGGCAGAGCGAGAAAGAAGGAAAGCGAGTGAGAGAGGAAGAATGGGTTCGCGATTAATGCAACACATTAGCGAGAATTGTTGCGACTATACTACGGGCGATCGTCTCTCTCTGACCTCGAGGTCCCACGTTACATTATCCCCGGCCGTTTCCAGCCATCCGGGATGGTAATTCCGCGTTATTTCCCGAGGTCGAGGTCGTGGCGGCAGGCCTCTCGTCGATTCGTGCGGAAAAGGAGACCATCGACCTCCGCCGAATAAATCGTCGGGGACGGTCTTCGTCGTGACGAGACGACGCGGTAAATCATCCGGGTTCTCAGGCTTTCAAAGGACTATCTTTCGTCGACTAGCATTAATGAAGGCCCCCGCACGGCTTGCCGCTATTAACGCTATTATTGTTGCGTTACTGTAAAACGCGTGGCGGAAGCGCGAGGATAAAGGTTTCTTTTCCTCTTTTTTTTCGGCGATGAAAGAAGGGTCTCGCGTTATTTGCACAAATGTGTATCTTAACGTCACTTGTGCGACAAGTTAGAGTTAGAGAACAAGTTCCACGATCGCGAAATGCCAATTAAATCTAAACACGACGATCAACACGATACATCGCACCGATCAAACGGAGAATAAATTCCACAATCGGGGACGGAGAAATTTGCGTTTAAATAGATTCTATATTTTTACGTATTTTTACGTGTATTTTTCTAATTTAGTTTACAATATACATATATATATTTTTTTTTTCTTTTGACACTCCGTTGAAATTATTTCTCTCCATGTCTTCCGTCTCGAACCGTGTTTTATTATACAATGACATTACATCATTGAAGTAGAATATTCAATGAATATCTGATATCTGCTCGTTACCAAAAAGAAATTTTTACAAACAATGGTTAATTAGCATAATTTCTTAAATTTCCAAGAATTAAAATTATGAATATATTATTTAAAAAAAACTTTCTAGTAAAATTCATTGCATATATTAATTAAAAAGTGAAATTTATTTAAAAGAGAGCGTAATATTTCGTAATTGAAGTTAGGAAACTCAGCTCAAAAGTTTTGAACGCTATCAAGTTTTCTGAAGATCCCAAGACTCTAAATTAATCCTAGACTCCGAATTCGCAAAGGCGGTCGCGCTTGTCGCGTCGCGCGAGAGGTCTGACCGCTCTTGACCCTCGAGGCTTGAATCGGGACTCACCTTGCCGCGACGAATGATCGTGTCGCGCTATCCCGCGAAGTCTGTCCGCTCTCGCCTAATTACCAAGGTTATCACCGACGGGAGTCCGAGCACCAAGGCGACGAACGGAGCAAGGACGAAGGACGGAGTTTTCACTTTTAGTCCAAGAGGGAAAACGCCGAGAGATGCGCTGCCTTCTTCGCGTATCCACAGTTCTTCTCACCCGCGGGACGATTCGCCCGGCATGCGCGCGTACCGGATGCACGCGCGACTATCTGTGTCCACCTGGATGCGACACGTGCACGAGCACGCGCCAGGACGAATCCCAACGGCGTCTCCTTCGTCGACGAAGGGAGCGAGCGAAGGAGAGAAAGAAGAAAAGAAATCGCGATCGCGCGGTTCCTTCCCCCTTTTGGCCGTACGGCGATCGATCCGCTTACGCAGCGAGGATCCCAGCGGAGGATCCTCTTCGTACGAGACGAGGACGGGAACGGAATTCCGAGACGCGTGCGGGGGTCTCGTCCCACGATCAGGAGGCACGGCGACGCGGCGCGTCGCAGGCGCGGCGGTGTACACGATGGTCGCGCGTTGTCGAGGACGGTGCGGCAGGTGCAGCCGCTGCAGCTGGCACGGTCGTCGGCTTCATACTGAAGTGTACTGAAGGGGAGAGATATACACGGCGGGCACGGGCACGATGCCGCCGCAGGCTGCCGCCGCACGAGCAGCTACGAGAAACTGGCTCCACCGTCGCCGCCGACTGCTCCGAAAACTCGGGGCAGCGCCGGGGTCTCTCCTCTCCGTTTCTCACCACGAATCTCTCTGCCGTCCTCTCGCTCTCGTCCTGCCGCCGCTCTCTTCGCCACCCCGTCGCTCTTCCCCGTCGCGCTGTGCGTTTGCCATTCGTGGTGGGATTCTGCTCTCCGCGAATGGAGTAGGGGCCATCCTCTCGATCTCTCTATCTCTCTTTGCCGCGACGCCGAGATCTCCCTCTCTCCTTCTTCGCATGGGATCCGCGAACGAGGCCCCGAGGATATTTTTGGATTTTTCTTTCGATACGTTGTCCTGCGAGGAGAGTCACCCGGTTTAAGACCCGTTCGGAGGGATCCTTCACGATAAATTCCCGCGAGAAATAGCCGCACTTGCCGCGCCGTCGAGGCGAATTCGCTCCGCGATCCTTCGCATTTGTGCATATAAGAATCGGATTGTAAGAATAAGACGCGTTGCATTGGTGCCTCAGGTGCATTCTTACTTCAGCAACGGTCGTTTGTATTTTCTTCAACGTCCACTTTTAATCTAAATTTAGTAGCATGATTTTCTACTTTCGACTGTTGCTAAGGAGGAAGTCGCTCTTTTTCAATGCTAACGCGTTCCTCCCGGTTCATCCCAGCATCCGTAACGAGGTATCGCCTGGAATTATCTTGATAACATTACTCCGAGATCCGGAGGAAGTCTGTATCTTATAACAGAAGCGAGACGAGGCATAAAAGTGACTCGGACATTCTTAAATTATTTCTACTCTTTTTTTTCTGACGAGACACGAATAAAGCTTCGGAGCGATTTATTCAGATCCGCAAGAATCTCATCGTGGATCTTGGAAGACGCGAAGATTTCACTTCTCATGTCCTTGGGCTCATTGATTCTCGCGCAAAGATGCAAAAAGGGAAGCGCCGGCGAAAATCACGGTGGAATTTCCGCGTGTCCGTTTCGTCTTTTCATATATACCTGGGGCCCCGATCGAGTCGTCGCGCTCGAGCCCGGCGCGACGCGTTCCGGTAGGTCGGTGACGCCGAGAACCGGACCGGCTGCAAAAACGATTACGTTTCGTGAAGACGAGAGGAGGGACCGGGGAAAGACGGAGAACGCGGCCGTGGGTTACCGACGGGTCCAGCCTGGCTCGTAAAAATGCCCGGATGCATCGCCGAATATGGCCGAAAACACCTAAGTGCGCCCGGTAACAAGACGCCTCGTCGCGAAACGTTACGTCGAGGTGTGAAAAATTTGTCAGATCCCAGAAGATTGTTTCCAGCTTGTTTACCCAGACGGGATAATTTTCTATGCTAACACGCTTTGTCAAAATGTGAAATATACCTAACCAGAGCGGAACGATGGTAATTTTTACACGGCAAGAAAGAACACGAGATGAAGCCCTTATATTCTTAATCTTACAAAATAATCATTATCTTAATTGCATAAATATATTGCTTACGAAACTAATTGTTTATTGATCAATATTTGTTGTGATGCTCGAAACTTTTTTATCAAAACTTTTTTTAATTATTGCACATATACTAATTAATACGATACGAGAACATAACTTGTTTCAAAGATATATGAAGCATGTCCGACTTCGCTAACAGGAAGAACAGAACGGCGCGAAATTGTCTTGAGATGATCTGGCAATTTTCACATCTCTCTAAAATAATTAGACTGATGTCTGGCGGCGGGGGCGGGCGTTTAGCATCCTCGTGGACGTTAGACCACTTCGCACTCTCAGAGGAGCGGTAATTAACGATGCTTGGGCTCATGTACTTTCATAAAGTCCGCAACTTTCTAATGTGCCCGGCAAGTATCTCTGTTTAAGCGTAACGGGGCTACGTCGCTCCGTATAACGCGTATAACAATATCTTTTTCACCTTTCGAAATTAAAAAACGGCCGTCGCGTTAGGAAAGTTTGGAAAGTTCGGAATAGCGAGAATCCTCCTCCTCGCGCTGCGTCAATTACAATGCTCTCCATGAATACCCGACTATCCGATCAGGCTTCTAATACCGTCTAAGTCGATCGACAAAAAATCGATGATATTGTTCCGTTCTTTCATTTCTTCTTTCGCGAGCTCGTTGTGACTTTTTTTCACGAATAAGCAATCCGTACTTTGAAAGTTGACGAGGAGCGTTAAAACTTCGTTTTCTCGCTAATATTTTCATGCGGGGACGAGGCGAAGGAGATCGCAAAAGAGTGAAACGTCCTCCGTAAGCGTCGGTGCGAGAGTCGGTCGTTGAATGAACACCCTCTTCGCGTCTTTCATCCCCTTCGCGTTCGCGCAATGGCTTTATTATACGGCTCGGCTCGCGGAACGACTTTCCTTTAAATCGGAGGGACGTTTCGCGTGCTTTACGTTGACATTTACAGTGAAATCCCGAGCAGCGGGCGCAGCTGGTTTACCATTCGCTCAATGATGCCTTAAGGATCTACGGTACCGTGGCTGGAACCTGTTTCTCTTGTTCCTGGTTGCGCTGGCTATATTTATGCGCATTTGCACGCGCACGTCTACGCATATACGCGCGCGCGCATATCGTCGCCATACAAATTGAATTGCAACTAATTATGAAATATTGCCGATGCGTCGTCCCGTGTGAATACGCGAGAATTTCACGCCGCCGTCTCAAAAGTGTCCACCTAACTAAGACGCACAATCGTCCTGCGCGAAACTTACGCAATGCAGGGGGACGAAGTTATTTTATCTATTTAAAATTGGAATTTTGTGAAAGGGACAGTATATATTTGCGCAGACATTTCTCTAGGAAATGGTAGAGTGAAATTAATCATTATTCTCTCGCATTTTAAGCTTTGGAGGAAATAAGTTTCAAAGCTAGGTCTTTTTCTTAGAAAAAACTTGAATCTCTTTGCGGTAAACGCGTAATGATTTTAAATTAAATATTATACCTACATGATACGCGTATTTTTTTATCTTCTTTCTTTCTCAAGGTATTGGATAGAAGATTACTTTTGGACAATCCTCTCAGAGGATTATTTTTGTCGTCTCAGATCAGTCGGATTTCACAGCTCGGCAAGTTAATCCAGCAAAACTCACACGTGGCGGCGGACCGGGCCGACTTCGACTTCCTGTCGGCGCAGCGGCCGGGCGAGCGGGTCGCACGAGATATAACGCAAGCCGGATACGGACCTGCGTAATTGTACACATCGGCCGTGTTTCTGCCGTGTTAATCTTTGTCGTACGAGCGCGTCGTGCGACCCTTAAGGTCGCGCTCCCCCGAGCACGCCGCGGAAGTGCGAAATTAGTTCGGCGTAAGAGGACGAAATTATTCTATGCAGCTGCACATGTGCACACATACAATGTCTAATTCCATAACGGTTTAAAGTTTGGATCTACATGGTGATTTCGCGATTATTATATAATTTTCGTATGTTTGCTTGTCAAAAGAGCAATCGAGATTCAAAATATGTCTTTCGATTGATCGCAACGGACAGTCATACGAAGGAAAGTATGTTTTTTTTTTGCAATGCTAAAGAATTTGCATCAATATCGGTTATACATCCGTTTATTTTTTTCTTTTTGCTCAATTAAAGGTTGCTACACACAAGTTTAAATAAGTCGTGCTATGAACGTGAGACATTAATAATAATTATAATAAATATTAATTTATAAATTTTACATTTAAGATACAGATCTTTATAGTCAATCTTAGATAAGATACAGAGCGCAAGGTGTATCTTCGTATTTTAATAAATTTGTCTCTTTTGTTGATGATAGAAAATCTCGCAAATGGATAATATAATAATATGATGATACGGAAGTTATTTATTCGTGTGACTACTGTTAAATAATATTTGGCTAAATATACAGATAAATTTATGATAAATAATTTTTCTTAATCGATTTTTCACCCTTTTGCAAAATTATCCAAGATAGTGATAATCTCTAAATCTATTGAACTAATTGTGTGTTCTTTAATATTGATATCCATTATTACCGCCGTTTTGTCTGTTGCTTCCGACATTCGCATTGTCACTGCCACCGATGTTATTGCTAGGAGGATTGGAAAAGTAGCCGCCGCTATCACCGCCGCTCAAACCACCATCGTTATCTCGGCCAAACGATTGTCCTGCTGTAAAATATAAATTTCTCAAAGAACCCACAAATAGTACGTTAAAGTGCACAATGTAAGTTATTATTTTTCTACAAAAATTATGTACCTAGTATCTACTCTTAAATCATTTTATTTAAATGATAGTGAGATAGAGAAAGAAATCGAATTCTAGAATGCAGTAGAATATCAATGCTTAAGTGCAAAATTATGAAAAATTAGATTCTTTAATGTATGGACTTTATATACAATATTTAAATATCTCATTACACGAGAGTTAAAAGTTCTTTAATACATTCTTCCTAAATTTCCACTTGTTTTCCACGTCACTTTGACTCAATTAAACGGCAGATCGCAATCTTATCGCACCTGGTCTTCCCGACTGATAACCGTTGCCGCCTCCGCTATTAAATCCGCCGAGCTTTCCCTCGCCGGGGCCACCACTTGGATAACCACCGTTACTACCGCCTCCATTAAATCCTGAGTTATTCGTGAAACCGCCGCTCTTGCTACCTGGTCGACCAGAAGAATAACCGTCGTTGTTATCATTCGACCCGCCGGAGCCGTATCCTTCGCCGGCATTCGCTTCGCCCTCGTATCTAATTTGCGGTTTAAATCCATCCTGATCAGCCTCATACTCGACAATCTGTTTCCTACCGTCTGGAAGCAAAACGTTGAACTCGCCTTGAGCTCGGTCACCGTCTCTAGTCTCCGTGTGACTGTAATCGCTGCCGGTTTGCTGATCCTTCACTTTATAGGAAAACTCGTATTTTGCCGGCTCCTGAAAATAGAGAGATAAAAAACTGAAACCTGTAATAAAGGTAGTTCTACAGAATTATCAAACAGACTGGCTATTTCTGAAGAAAATCATTCCGCTTCGGATAATTGCCATATTTATTTCTAGTTCAATTTTAACGAGACATATGCATAACATATGCACTTACCGTACTTTCCTCTTGCGCGTTATCGTTGTAACCCTCGCCATTTCCCCTTCCTCCTCCTCCTCCTCCTCCTCCTCCTCCTCCAAAACTTCCATCCCCGTGCCCGAAATTCCCTGCATTTCCATTTGGACCTCCAGATGGATAGCCGTTAGCCCCACCGAAACTTCCTCCGTTTGAGCCTCCGGATGGATAGCCGTTGTTACTATTTCCACCCCTATTAGGCTGACTGGTTGATCGTCCACCGAATCCACTTTCATTCGGGGTTCCATAGCTGCTCGACGGTCCTCCACTATTTCCGCTATTGAA